CCCTCCCCTGCTCGCGCTGTCTCTCTCTCTCTCTCTCTCTCTCTCTCTCTCCTAGAAATAAAAAAAAATAAAAAAATAAAGGAAGGACAGGAAAAATAAATAAATAAATAAAATAAAATAAAAATAAAAGAAGGACAGGCATAGTGCCTTTACATATGTGTCACGCACACAAATGAAAGAGAGGTTTGATGTCTGCAGGGCCAGGCCTCAGGCCTCAGCAGGTCTCACGGGCCACACGCCTGTGGGGCCGGTGTCACTGGTGCTCATGACACGGACCAGGGATGAAAGCGATCCCCGCTCACCAGAGCCTCCGAACAGACGCCCCTACCTCACTACAGTTACCCACACCTGAATGTGGACTCATGTATGAAGCTGACTCCACAAGGAAATGAACATGAACTTCAGTGTGAGGCATTCCTAGACACAATTTAAAGGATCAGGAACACGGGGCGCCTGGGTGGCTCAGCCGGTTAGGCGTCCGACTTCGGCTCAGGTCATGATCTCATGGTTTGTGGGTTCAAGCCCCATGTTGAGCTGTGTGCTGACAACTTGGAGCCTGGAGCCTGTTTCAGATTCTGCGTCTCCCTCTCTCTCTGACCCTCCCCTGCTTGTGCTCTGTCTCTCAAAAATAAATAAGCATTAAAAAAAACTGTTTTTTAAGGATTTGGAACTTTATTGTGGAGAGGTCCCAGTATTATTTGTGCTTCCTCCGGATTTATCATTTTGGATACAGTCTTTAATAGCCTCAACAACATCACCTAAACAGACAAAATTTATGACTTAAAGAAGACACTAAGACACTGACTGTATCAAAAATGTCTTAAAACTCAAGATTATTATTCAGGACATAAGAGTTTTTGGAAACGTGTCTCCTGGTCAGAGGCTGAAAGCGATGGTACTAAGCGCCATCTCGATTATCCAGGAAAGAGTGAGAAATGAGCTTCCAGTACGAGTTCCAAAGCCCCAGGACCACACTGCAGCTTGTCTGCTTTACTTGTCTCAATTCGTATACGATGTTCCTCATGAGGCTTGACATGTGCTCAGTGTTGCTTTTTTTGTGCAGGGCGAAAGCCACCATGGGCTCAACAACAGGCAAAGCGACAGCTGGCTGTGTGACCGGATCTCACGGGTGGCACCCATGGGTCCGAGAGGGCCAACAAGGCCACGTGAGGAGACAGAGCAGCCACTGGCCCTGCGGAGCTCCAGCAAAGCCAGGGACTGGGCAGGCGCAGGGTTATAAGCCTCGGAAATGGGCTGGAAGTTTGTTCAAGAGGCAGAGTAGGGGGAGCCCCCAAGCCCTCCCCGTCATCCTCTGCAGATGGAGCGATCTGCCCCCGCCCCGCAGGGGACCAGGGACACACTGAGCACAGCTGGAAGGGGACAGGTAGGGGCAAGGAGAGTGTCCCCACATCCCAGGAGACCCCAGCACATCCCCGCCTGCCACCAGGCCAGTGCCCCGAGCAGGAGACCTGACCGTCCTTCCTGGAGACGCCAAGTGAGGAAAACGCTCAGAGTCCAGCCTGCTGAGAAGCCGGCTTGTCAGGGCCTAGGCCTGGTGCACACCCAGTGGCTTTCTGGCCACTCAGGTTCCGAGGACAGCCAACTGTCCCCAAAGATTTGCAATCCTCTATCACTAGAGGGGACTGCGCTGAGCGGAATTAGGGTGAAAAAGACAAATATCTTATGACCTTACTCATACGAGGACTTTAAGATACAAAACAGATGAACGTAAGGGAAAGGAAGCAAAAATAATAAACAAACAGGGAGGGGGACAAAACATAAGAGACTCTTAAATATGGAGAACAGACAGGAGGTTACCAGAGGGGCTGTGCTAAATGAGTAAGGGGCTTAAGAAATCTACTCCTGAAATCATCACTGCACCATATGCTAACTAACCTGGGTGTAAATTTAAACATAAAACATAAAAATAAAAATAAATGAAAACCTCTATCACAAAAAGCAGACACCGAAGTGAATAAATGTTGAGGCAGCAGGAACAGAGAGAACACAGAAAGCGAAGACAACTTCAACCACCCTGGAACCAAAACCGGGAGCTTCAAGACAAAGCACAAAGGGCAGGGAAGAGTCTCAGAGATCCACGCCCTGCTGCAGACCTGACCCTCCGCGGGTGGACTGGGAGAGAAAGGGGAGTCTCTGAGAAAGTAGACGGCAGAGGCGCAAACACACAGAAGCCCACAGACTCTGTGCAGAAGGTCTGAGGCTCAACTCATAAAGGCTCTAGAAAGAGACCGCGTGCCGGAGCTGGGGCAGGGCCGTTTCAGAGCCTCCAGGGATGTGACCCAGGCTCGAGAACACGAGGTTTGGGGGCCATGCTGCAGCAGGCGGCTGACACAGCCTCAGCGACAACGCAGAGGAGAGAGGCAGCCGACAGGAGGAAGCAGAAGATGCGGGCCTCCTCCCCACGACAGCACGGCCCCCAGCTCCGGTGACCGCCATCTGCATCCTGGAACCGCGCTCACACCCAGACTGCATTGATGAGACCGATATAAAGCCCTCTCCAGGTTGGCACAGTCTCAACAAAATGCACCTCCCAGCACATTTTCTCCAGACGTGTCCAAAGTGGGGAGTAAGGCCAAGAAAGCGGAGGGCGTGGCTCCGGGAGAAGGGGCTCCTGCGGTGATATCAAAGGAAAGTTCAAGAACATGCCCTGAGCCGGGCAGGGAGAGAGACAAGCCCCGAGAGCAGGAGGCGGAGAGCTTCTGGGGGCCACGCAGCACTGATGTGCCTGCCGGCAGGCGGGGTACAAAGCAATCGCCGCGAGGGGGTCAGCCGCAGCCGCACGAGAACTGGGCAGGGGACGCGGCAATGCAGCGGTTAACTCGGGCAGAAGCAAACACGTGCCCCAGAAAAGCAGCGTGATCACAGTTACACACTCAGCTCGGCAAAGACCCGGACTGACACAGTCACAGTAATGTTAACGCTGAGAGGTGGGGCCCCAGGGCCAAGCACATGCGGCAGGTGGGGGAAGCCCGAGCGGGCAGGGCTCCTACCAAGACAGAAGGCCCAAAGCAGGTGCGTAGGGGTGACTTAATGTTAACAAATGGGGCGGAAAACAGCAGAAGAAACAGCTATACGATCAGAAAGCAGTTGCCTGACACGAGAGGGGGGAACAGGGGGGCAGGAAAGGTGATGGTTTGGCTCCAAGCCTGTCTGCACCCTTGACACTGGGCTGGGCCCGCAGCAACTTGATTTTTAGCAAAGCAAAATAAGTTAAAGAGTAAAAATGGAAGCAAAACACCTTGTCACAGGCCAATCGAGCAAAAACCTAAAACATACAAATAACGATTGTACAAATAAGATTCTCCTGGGAAAGGAGAGGAGATCACTGAAATCCCCTTGTTACTTCTCTTTTCTCAAAAAAAAAAAAAAATTGTTTTTAGAAGGAGAAACACCTTTCCACAGAGATGCCCCAGGAAGAGGAAGAGGCCAAATCCTGCCTCCTGCTGACGGGCACGAGGTCAGAATGTAGCCCACGGTGGCGAACTCGCTCCGGGGAAGGCACAGGGGAGCCTGGCGAGGGGTCAGCCCTGACGGCCACCGCACCACACCGAGATTCACCTGTGAGTCACGCTGGCCAGAGTGACCATGGGAGCCGTGAAAGCGACCAACCCCACCGTGACAGTTTCTGACACAAGAAGAGTCACTGTCATTGGTAAGTTGTCACCCTGATTACACGCAGCCCAGAATGAGCTAGCCCCACCCCCAAAAAAAAGAAAAAAAAAAAAAGGAAAAGAGCCCAGAGCAGCCCAAATAGCTACAATAAAAATCCTATGTACCACGTACAGGTTTATCCAAAGCACCTGCACCCAGGCCCTCGGTCAGTCTGGTCACTCTTCCCTTAGAAACGTGGGCAGCCCGTGTCTCTGGCTCCCTGGCCCTGCTGCGCCAGAAGCCACACACGGAGGGGTATGACGAGGAGGGGACGGGAGCATGGTGGGCGGCCGGGCCACAAGGACCAGAGCTGACGAAACAGCTCACAGGCAGCAAGAAACGGGGTGGCGCTCGCCAGCCCGCCTCATGGGGCTGGGGGGGCCTCACACACGTCCTGTGAGAAGGGGTTGAGCTGAAACACACACGTTTGCTAGTTAAATGCGTCCCCTCCGTCTATAAGAACATTCAGTTAAGTAGCGACTTCCTTCTTAAGCATCAGGACAAGCGAACCTCTACTCCAGAAGGCAGGCAGCTGCCTTGAAGGGGTCTTTCCCTAAAAGCAGTTCGCGTTGGGTCCAGGAGGCACCCTGCCGACCAGGCGCTGCCCGGGTTCACAGTGCGGTGTGTGGGGATCCGAGGGACAGTGCAGCCAGGGGTCAGCTCCTCTACCCCCGCCATGTGCCCAAATGACAAGGCCCCCAAGCCCAGCCCAGCCCTGTCCATGAAGTGAGAGGCAGTTGGCCCTGGATGGGCTGTGCCACCCGGGCCCCAGGCCCTGTCGCATCCGCTGTCTGATGAAGGAAAACGCTAACATCTCCAAGTCGCCAGTGCGGCTGCAGTCAGTGCAGGCCGAGGCCAAGGAGCTCCCGTAGAGAAGGAATCGATGTTCTTACGCAGGAGCTGATACCGGAAACATGGTCTTCCCGACTGAAAGCTGCCTTTAGGAACCGGGCTGCGGGTGGGCGCATGTGTGTCTCCATAGCTTAAAGGGGTCTGGCGGACCACCAAGTCCAGCCTCACCCACCACAAAGGCTCGGAGGGAGTGGGTCGGCCGCAAGGTCACAGCACGTGACAGCATTTCTCCCTGCTGCTTCTGCCCCTGAAGCTGGTGTTCCCCAGGAGGCAGGGGGCGGCCCTTCACTGGGCACCCTGGAGCGGGGGGAGGCCAGCCCTGGCGCACCTGCCCCTCAGTGCGCGGGTGTGAAGGAAGCGCCCCGGCCATCCCAGCGCCAGCCTGAAGCGGTGCTCTGGCCCCTCAGTGCTCCGCAGAAGGGCCTCGGCCCGGCAGGGTCTGAAGGACCCGCCTGGTGGGTCTGCCCTGAACCTCCACGGGCGTGGGAAGAGTGTGTCTACACTGCCTCAAGTCTCCGGATCCAGAGACAGCTACCCAACCCAGTGTTAACGGGGACACTGTGGCGGCTCAGGAGAAGGTGTGACGCATGACCTTTCTCCCGCTTCTCCAGGCTTTCTGAACTTAGCAACTTTTTCACAATACAGGAAATGGAGGGGACGGCGGAAACAGGGCTGACGTCGTGCTGACCTGGGGACTGCTCCCATGGGAGTTGGTGTCCGGCAGCCATCTTCAGGCTTGGGCCTGGCTCTCCTGTGCCCCCACCGGCCCCACTCGCGCCCACCTACCCCGGTGCTATCCCCCGCCCCCAGGAACGGCACACGCACCTGGGAGTTCTGGATCCTGATGGTGCCGGGCGACAGCGCTTGCGTCACCACCTGGCCTTGAGGAGTGACAACCGTGACGGGCTGGTACACTGTGCCACCTCGAGAAGGAAGAGATCAAAGTGCTCCTAAGTCTCCATGATCGACACCCAAATCCCCAAAAGACGCAATATACGTCGTGAAGGACAAACACCTCTAGCCCGATGAGGTTTTTAAATCACGTCAAATGATCAATGCCGGTGGACTTGGTGCCGTAAACTATTAAAACGGCTTCCCTGAACAAGCCGGGCGCCAGCGCCTGTGCTGAGGCATGGCCCTGCGGCACTGGGGGGCGGGGCGTGCTACCGGAGGGGTGCAGGGGGCGGGGCACCGGGCACCAGGCGGCCAGGTGCCCCATCGCGGAGGGCATGTCGGCCAGGGTAGATTCTGCAGTCCCCTTCCTTTCACTCACCCCTGTTTTCTACTTTCTCACAACCTGCACATATTACAGGGCTTGGCCAAGGCTGTTAAATATTTCTTATCATGGTATTTTGTGGATGAAACGTGCTTTCATCTTCCCGTGGAAGTTTCCCTTTACACTATCCGTGAGGGTTTGCAGGGCGAGTCTCTCCCCTCCCTGCACGCCCCAATTCCGTCTTCACGATGGTTTTGTGTTTGCGATGCCGGGTGGGCTGCAGGGACAGCGGACTCTGCCCCTCCTGCGGTGATTTCTATCAGTAACCCCAAGGCTCAGAGTGCACTTTACTCGTGGGTCAAATATGAGTGACACGACCTAAGGTTTCCCCGGTGCTGCTAGGAGTACAATTAAAAGCCATGCTATCTGCAAATTACGATTCATTTTTTGCTCTATATTTTCAACTCCCATATAAAATCTTTCTTCCCCAAATGTTTTGGTAGGGAAACACAATTTGCATAAAACATCGGTTACTGAGAATTAAAACAAGAGACAGGCATTCAAATCTAAGAGTTCTAGTTTTGCCACTCCTGTATCAGGAACCGATGTTGAGCGGAAATTTCACACTTCTCCGTTCTGACAGAAAGGACTCTTCAGCCAAAGCTCAAGGAAAGAGTGTCCTCTTCTCCGTCCACATACCTGCCACTGTTGCCATGGTGACGTTGCCCTGCTGCAGCGCGGACGCGGGCACCACGATTCCTTGGGGGCTGAGGGTGCCCGAGATGGCGCTCTGAATCTGCTGTGGGTCAGAAATGCACGGTGAGCAGAAACACAGAAGACGTGTTTATAACTTTAAAACAAGTGGCGTGATGGTATCGTGAGCGAAGGCAAAGAGCCTGAGACAGAGATGCGACTGGATGATGACCTTCCAGAAGGAGCGCCTTATGTGCCTACAAACGGAGGGATCCGAGACTGACTCGGCATTAAGTACGGCCGTCAGCACTGAGGCACCGGTTTCAATCCGGCCCCCCCACGGTCACCTCTCATCTCATCATATCACACACGCTTCAAGCCCTGGAGGCGTGACAAGGAAGGCCAGGGTGACCTAGCGCCACCACACCAAGCTCACTCTAGAGCTTTCTAGGAGCCACAGTCTCCCTACAGGATGAGCACCATCTCCCCAGAGGTCACGTCCCCCGCCAGCTCTGCACTCTTCACCGCAACACAGAGCATGCCTGAGCCCCTGGTGTTCGGGTCTGTGCAGAGCCATGTCTGGGCCTGGCCACAGCCGGTCCACACGAATGAGCGTAAAACCACATCAAGATCCCACCCATCTGAAGTCAGGTCCCAAGGGGCTGATGAATGCGTTCGCTGTGACGGCTGCAGGCAGAGGGCTGGGAAGGGAAGGGAGCTCTGCGCCTGGCATCGAGGCACAAGGCCTGGCCCACCACAGGCACCCAGGCCTCTGCGCGGTTAGACAGCATCGGTGGGAATGAATACCCAGAGACAACTACTCTGCAGGCTGCGCACCAATCTGAATGTGTGCCCAAGGGGTGCACATGCCGTCTGCCAGGGTAACTTGGTCAGAATAAAAATTAATTCATCCAAATCAATAATCCAAACTCCCACATCAAGAACCTAGAAAAATTGGAACAAAATGAAACCAAAGCAAGCAGAAGGAAGGGAATAAGAAAAATCAAAGCAGAAATCAATGAAATTGAAAACAGAAAAACACCAGAGACCAATCAATGAAAAAAAGCTGCTTTCCTGTAAAGATCAATACATTGACAAACCTCCTACGTCAGAAAAAAAAAGAGAGGTGACAGATCACCAGCACCAGGAATGAGACGGAGCGGGGGTGGGGGGTACGACGAGGTGGGCGTGCCACAGGGCGACAACTGGGCACTGGGCATACACACATCTGATGTCCTGGACAGAAGCTAAGATGAAACACACCATCTGAAGAGCCTGGTGACTGTTAAGGACATGGAATTCATAATTTTAAAACTCAAAAAAGAAATCTCCAGGTCAAGGTACCATCACTGGAGGATTCCATCAAGCATATAATGAAGATTTCACACCAACTCTACATGATCACTTCCAGAAAACAGAAAAGGAGGGAAACCCTTCATTGCATTTTATAAAGTTGCATCATCCTGATACCAAAACTTGACAAAGACCATAACAAAGTAGAAACCACAGACCAGTATCTTTCAATCAAGATGGACACACAAACACTTCACGACATAATAGCAAACAGAATTCGGGAACCTATATAAAAAGAAATACTGCACCGTGACCCAGTGGAATTTATTCCAGGAATGCAAGCTTTGTTCAGTATTCGAAAAATCATTAGTAATGTGATCTACCTCCATGGCAAAGGAGAAAGGAGAAAAATCACATAATCACATCAATTTGTGCAGGGAAAGCATGTGACAAAATTCAACATAATAAAAAAAAACTCTCAGAAAAAAACAGGAACAGTGAGCGGGGAACTTCCTCAACTTGATGAGAAGCACCTGGAAGAAACCTGCCACTAAAACTGCAATGAAAAGTGAAAGGCCGAGTGCCTCCCCCCACGAAAGACGGGGAACAAGGCAGGATGTGCGCGCTCCCGGATCGTACTCAAGATGGTACTGGGTGTTCTAGACAGTGCAGTAAGTAAGACAAGGAAATACGGAGCACACAGGTCAAGAAGGAAGGAGCAGACTGCTCCTATCTGCAGATGACACAACTGAATAGACCGAAAATCCCAAGGAATCCACGAGAAGGACCTCCTAGAACTAGTAAGTGAGTTCAGCAAGGTTGCAGGATAGAAGATAAACATACAAAAATCACCTGTAGTGCTAAATACTAGCAGGGACCCAGAAGTTAAAAATCAAATACCATTTATAATTGTTCAAAAAACCACTCAGGTGTAATTCTAAAAACACATTTGCAGGACTTACAAGACAAAACTACAAGACACTGATGAAAAAGAAACCACAGAAGAGAAAATAAGTGGAGAGACACACCAGGCCCGTGGCCCGGAAGAGGCAGCAGAGGAGAGACGTCAGTTCTCCCCGGAACGCTACACGAGCTGAATGCAACTCCTCAAAATCTCAGTTGTGTGCCTACTGTTTTGTGGATGCAGACACGATTACTTCTAAGTTCACATGGAGAGCGGCCAGAAAAACTCACATCACTTTGAAAAAGAAGAACAAGGTGGGACGACATGGTCTATCCAAGTCTGAGACTTTTCAAAGCTGCAGGACCCAAGGCTACTGGGTGGGAAACACAGGCCACGGCGACAGAGCAGGGAGCCCGGAAACAGACACAAACAGACCGACGCGGTGACAGCGTCACAACAGCGATTCAGAGGAGGAACCTGAACAAATCGTGCTAGGGCGCTGAACCCACCTCCACCTCCACCGTCACGCTTCGTACAAAAGTCAACTCAAAATGCATCACGGGAGGCGCCTGGGTGGCTCCGTCAGTTAAGCGTCCAACTTCAGCTCAGGTCATGATCTCGCAGTTCGTGGGTTCCAGACCCACGTCGGGCTCTGTGCTGACAGCTCGGAGCCTGGAGCCTGTTTCAGATTCTGTGTCTCCCTCTCTCTCTGACCCTCCCCTGCTCACACTGTCTCTCTCTCTCTCAGAAATAAATAAAACATTTAAAAAAAATTTTTTTTTAAATGGGTCACAGATCTGAATATAAAATACACACTTTCAGAAAAAGAATGAGAGAAAAATCTTGGGGCTCTAGGGCTCGGCAGAGTACTTAGACTTAACACCAGAAGCACAGCTCCTTTTTTTTTTTTTAAATGTTTTATTTATTTCTAGGAGAGAGAGAGAGAGAGAGAGAGACAGCGTGAGCAGGGGAGAGTCAGAGAGAGAGGGAGTCACAGACTGAGACAGGCTCCAGGCTCTGAGCTGTGAGCACAGAGCCCGACGCGGGGCTCGAACCCACGAACCGCGAGATCATGACCTAAGCGAAAGTCGGACACTTAACCGACTAAGCCACCCAGGCGCCCCGAGAAGCACAGCTCCTTAAAGGACAAGTTGATAAATGGGACTTGATTGAAATGTAAAATGTTTGCTCTGCAGAAGAGCCTGTTAAGAGGGTGAAAGAGTCAGCTATGGACTTGGGAGAAAATATTCACAAACCATATAGCCAGTAAGACCTGTCCCTAGAATATTCTCAAAACAACAGTTCAAGAAAATCTAGAAAATGGGCAAGACATGAGCAGGCGTTCTACCCAAGAGGACCTGCAGATGGCAACCAAGCCCAGGAAGAGAAGGCAACACGGGTGGCCATCAGGGAGGTGCAATGACGGCCACACGATGTCACTGCTCAGGTACAAGAGTGCTTCGACGTGGGTGAGCCTTGAGGCCACTGCGCTCTATAAAGTAAGGCAAACACAAAAGGACAAATACGGTAGGACCCCCCCCAACATAAGGCCTCAGACGAATCAAGTTTGTAGACACAAAAAGTAGAACGGTAGGAGCCAGGGACTGGGGAGGTGGGGGAAGGGCGAGTTAGCAGTTAACTGGGACAGGGCTCCAGTTTAAGAAGATGCGAAGCTCCCAAGATGGAGGGCGGGGAAGGCAGCACAACCGTGTGGCTGTGCTTCATGCCAGAGCTGCGCATTGAAAAATGGTTAAGATGAGGGGCGCCTGTGGGGCTCAGTCGGTTAAGCATCCGACTTCGGCTCAGGTCATGATCTCACGGTTTTTGAGTTCAAGCCCCACGTCAGGCTCTGTGCTGACAGCTGGGAGCCTGGAGCTGCTTCAGATTCTGTCTCTCCCCCTCTCTCTGCCCCTCCCCTACTCGTGCTCTGTCTCTGTCTCAAAAATAAATAAAACACTAAAAACGCTCTAAGGGTTAAGACAGTGCATTTACGACACGTGCACCTTACCACAATTTTAAGAAATAATAAATAAAAACCATATTTTAAGGAAGGAGGAAGGAAGTGAACGGTACTCTGTCCTCCAGGAAGATGGGATCCCCGGGGTGGGACACAGATCAAGGCGTCGCTGCAGGGGCTGTGGGACGCCCCCAGGACCAATCTTTTGGGCCCAAGGGAAGTCACGGCCAGCCCAGGCCAGGTTCACAGATCTATGGGCCCCTCTGTGCAGGGCGGCCGGGAGAAGCCCAGACATTCCGGAAGGGCTGCTGATCTCAGGAAGGAGTCCATGTCGCCCTGCAGATGGTCCGGGACCAGGGAGCAGAGAGGGACCCCAACATAAATACCTGGGATGGGACGGGGGAGTACGGGCTCCCGGGTTCCCCACTCAGGAGGGTCTCGCTGTTCATCTTCGTTTTTAGACACGCGATGTAGCGGCTGCAGAAGTCTTTGCAGAGCTCATTCACCTTCTCCAGCTCAAGGAGATGAATACGCAGCACATGGATTGCTTTCACCATCTAGAAGCAGAGGAAACGAAGGCCCTCAGACGCGCAGACGGTAGCGTCACGCTACGTCATCCTTATCGATGCAGAACCACTGAGTGATGGTCTGACGGCCTGGTGCCACGACCGTGTGGCTGATGGGGACAGAAGGGGGCAGACCTTTCCTAGGCCAGCACATCTGGTGTGCGGGGGCGCAGATGGTTACCGGGCCGCCCTGCCGGGGGGGGGGGGGGGGGGACAGCAGGGCGCAGCCCCGGCCACCGACCCACCGCACACCAGGCGAGGCACTTACCCCCGCTCCGCTCCTGTTTCTTCATCTACAGATGGGGAGGCTCTTCGTTTGGAGAAAGCTCGACTGACCGACTCTGCCTTTTACGGATTGAGCTTTTGGCGCCAGGCCTAACAGCTCCCCGCCTAGCGCCTGATCAGCCCTTTTAAGATCTTCCCAAAGGTCTTACGGTGACTTTGTTAAGTCACTAAGTTCTGGAGTCGCCTGTCCCAGGCGGGCAGGGAATGGTCTCTGATAACGGAACCACCACCACAAGCACCACTTGCCCGTGAATCCACAACCCCGAGCCCGGCCCTTCCCCATGGCCCGGGTGGCATAGTTCACACACGTTTGTGGACCGACCCAACCACTCAGTCAATAATGAGAGTGACCAGGCACCGAGCTCTGCCAGGCCCTGCGCTCGGACACCCGTCAGGAGAGCCCGGGGGTGCTCAGGGGTACCCGCTGCCCACGCACCAACGGCTCTACGGCAGACATTCAGGGCCGGAGGGAGCTTCTGAGTCTCATCCCAAGAGGGCGGGCACTGTTTGTCCCATTTCAAAGATGAGGAGACTGACTCATTACAAAATCTACCAGGCAGGAAGGGCTGAATGTATAATGAGAAACTTAAAGAACAACAAAGATCCGGGCAATTTAGTCAGGAAAAAGTCTTCTAAAGGTGCTCATCAGCTGCTAAGGGCCCTGACTGCGGTTTGGACTGGTTTTGGGCAGAAAGGCCCAGGGCAGCAGGGCGGAGCGCAGGAGCTCTGTGAAGCCGGCCTTGCTCTGCGCTCACGAGCCTCCCCAAGTGCGCGCACAGCCCTGCCTCCTGGCCTCCAGACCGAGCGTGTCTCAGAGAAGAAGGTCGTGTGCGGGCATCGGGCTCTGTGCTGACAGCTCAGAGTCTGGAGCCTGTTTCAGATTCTGTGTCTCCCTCCGTCTCTGCCCCTCCCCTGTTCACCCTGTCTCTCTCTCTCTCTCTCTCTCAGAAATAAATAAAAATATTTTAAAAAAATGTTTAGGACCGAACGGGATCCCCAGGCCACAGGCTCCTTGAGGTGCAGGCTCAGGTCATCTCCCTTGGTTCTTACGGTGGAGGTCAGCGGAAAAGGCGGGACGACATGGGGACATGTAGGTCACACAGCAGGAAGTTGTTCCGGGAGCTGTGTGATGCTCCCCTTAGCGGAACTACATTCTAAAGTCCCAATTGGAAGTTTAAAATTTATCAGGCATATTTTAAATTTGGAATAAATAAAAAAGAAGAATAAAACGTTTACTTTACTTACTAAATTGTCAGTTTCCGGATCTTCACAAAAGAAGGGTTTTCCTTCTTTCTCTTGCTTCCTTACAAAATTTTCAATATCTACGTCAAAACTGGCAGAAGTCGTGCCTTCTGAGCCCTGCGTAGACTGTTCACATTTTTCAAACAACAAAGCTAATAATGGAAACAGTGGATGCCTGGAGGGGAAAAAAATTTTAATGTATTTTCTACATTTTCACGAGAATATTTTAGTACGTGCGTATGCATTGGTTTACAGACCAGCTTTGCTGAGGGACAGTTCACACACTACACAATTCATCCACTCTAAAGTGCGCTATTCAATAGCGTTTACTACACCCACAACCAAGCCTAATTTTGTAACATTCTCATCATCCCCCAAAGAAACCCTATAGCCATTAGCAGCCAGTCTCCATGTTCCCCCAAACCCCAGTCCCAAGCCACTGCTAACCTAGTGTCTGTCCCTATGGATTTGCCACTTCCAGACATTTCATATAAATGGAATCACAGAGCACATGCCCTTTGGCATCTAGCCTCTTTCATGAGTGATCCTGTTTTCAAGGATCATCAACGCTATACCCGGAATCGGTACTTCATGCCTTTTTATGGCTGAATAATAATCCAGTGTGGACAGACCAGTTCTACAAGTTTAAATTTTACGTGGAGATCTCTGCTCCATTTTGAGTAAACCTCTGTATAAAATGTGAGGTGAGGTCAAGCATCTTCTTTCAGCATATGAATATCTAAGCTGTTCCAACACCATTTGTCAGAAAGTCTGCCTCTACTTCACCAAACTGTTTGCACCTTTGTCAAAGGTCAAATAAATTATGTTTCTGTACGTCTACTTCTGGACTATCACTGACGCTGATCCTAGCCCTTCACCACCATCGCAACGTCCTCATTATTGTAACGCCAGAGTCAGTCTTGAAATTCAAGTTTATTCTTCTTTTTCAACACTGCTTTAGCTGGTCTAGTTTTTTCACCTTCCATATAAGATTTAGAATTAGCTTGTCTGTATGTACAAAAATATCCTGCTAAGACTTTAATTGGGATTGTGTTAAATCTACAGATCGATTTCAGGAGAAATGACATCTTTGCTACACTGAGTCTTCCTACCCATGAACATGGTATGTCCCACCACTTAGGTTTTCTCTGATTGCTTGTGTCAGCTTTTTATAGTTTTCAGCATAAAGTTTCTGTGTTTTGCTTGATTTGCACCTTTTTTGGTGCAAATGGTTATAAATGGTGTTGTCTTTCTAATTTCCATTTCCAATTGCATATTACTGGCGTAGAAATAGGATTTGTTTCTGTGTGTTGTCCTTGTAATCTGTGACCTTATTAAGCTCAGTCAGTTCTGGAAGTGTTTTAGTGGCGTCTTTGTGATTTTCTATGTAGAAGATCATGTGGTTTGTGCCCAAATCCAGTTTTATTTCCTCCTTCCTAATCTGGGATGCCTTTTCTTTCTTCCTCTAGCCTTACTGCGCTGGCTCCGACTTCCATCACAGTACTGAACGGGAAGAGGCACAGTGGATATCTGCCTCCTTCCCAGACTTAGAGGAAACAGTCTTTGGCCATTAAGCATGATGAGAACAACTGATTTTTTGATGTTGCCCTTCATCGGGTTAGGAAAGTTTCCCTCTGTTACCACTTTGCTGGCAGCTTTTAACCATAATTAGCTGTTGACTTTTGTCAAATGCTTTTCTGTGTCACCTGATGTGATCACGTTGTGGGTCTCACTGGTTGACTTTGACTAGTGAATCAGTCTTGAGTTCCTGGGATAAACTGCACTTGGTTTTATACGTCACTGGATTTGATTTGTTAATATCGTATTAATGGTTTTGACGTTTAAGTTCATGAGGTACCCTGGTGTATACTTTTCTTTTTTTATATTGTCTTTCGCTTTAGTATCCGAGTGATGGTCAATTCATAAAATGAGCTGGAAAGCATTCCCTCCTCCTTTTTCTGGAAGAGACTGTGTAAGACTTGCTGTTTTCTTCTTCAGTATATCTTTGGTAGGATTCTCCAATAAAATGGTGTGAGCCTGAAGATTTCTTTTTGTGGGGTTGACTAAAATGTACATTTACATTCTAAAACTTTTTGTTTAAGGTATTGGTTTAAGGTAATAATAGCCTAATTTGAGAACCTTCTCACCCCGGTGGTTACCACACCGTACCTACTACTCTGCCCAGCCGACAGCTCTAGCTTTCCATTTCGCAAGGTTCTCTGCTCCCGCCACTCCTGCTAAAACCCACGCGTGTCACATCTCACCGCTACCTATAAATGGCCTGCTTGTCTGCGTCCATTGGCGTCTGGGAGCCCGCGGGGGGAGGGCTCACTCCTTCCACATCACGTTCAGAGCAGTTGGGATCTTGCTCCGTTTTTAACTCTGTTACTACTTGCATCTGTGAAAGGAGGAGAATTTTTGTTACTAAACACAAAGTAAACTGCTACTAAGTGTTCTATCCTCAAACAGAAAGGCAACGGGAATGGTAAATTGCTAGACCGTTGGATGACTGGCAGGAATACATAAAAAATGCTACCAAAAAACTCCTTTGAATTTAATACGTTCTGAAAATGGCTAAAATAAAAGCTCAGTTTCCAGTTCATCTTGAAAATGGGGGCCAATATCTGAGAAAATGCTTGTGATTTTCAAAGATACTCCACCTGCACAGCGCTGAGGGGAAGGGACACGTGAATAATCACACTGTGTCCCTTCTTGCCCTGGATCCTCACACCGAGTAACATCGCAGCAAAAGGGAGAAACACATAGTCCAAACTCTTCCTCACTTTTCACAAAAACAACTCAAACGCTACGTGCTAGGTGCTATGTGCTACATAGTCATGGCAGGGCTGACATTCTCCCCTATCTACTCTTAAATTCCAGGAATAAATAAGCTATCAACATTTTGTGAAAAAAAAAGTCACTGTATTCAGAAAGTAAAGACCGGCTGTGTTTGAAGAAATAGCATTAAACATAAGAGGAAGCATTCTAGATATTTTCATTTAAATTGCTTTAAACTAGCTATTTGGCTTGTAACTTAGGTGAAAAGTATTTAAATCCTTAAACATAAAGAATTCCGTTTACAAGGGCGCCTGGGGGGCTCAGTCGGTTAAGCGTCCGACTTCAGCTCAGGTCATGATCTCACAGTTCGTGGGTTCGAGCCCCGCGTCGGGGTTGACAGCTCAGAGCCTGGAACCTGCTTCCGATTCTGTGTCTCCGTCTCTCTCTGACCCTCCCCTGCTCATGCTGTCTCTCTCTCAAAAAAAAAAAAAAAAAAAAAATTAAAAATTAAAAAAAAAAAAGATTTCCATTTACAGAAAAAAATCCCGAATTGCTGCAGTAAACTTGTAATTACCCATAAGCAGATTACCAGCCCCCTTCAGCTGCTTCGGCACCAGAACCCACCTGCCCTGCGGCAACCTGGTGTGACTCCGCGCCTCGAGGCAGTAGCTTGGTGGGGGTGCCTGGGAAGGGGCTTGATCCCAGGCAGGGAGAGAGCCTGCCCTGTGCACCCCCCCGAGAGCCGAGGGTAGATCCCTGTAAGGTCTCCCCTTCAGCCCAGATGTGCAGGGAGACCTCTGTCCCACGGCCTTCGGGTAGGGATGGCGCAGCGCGCCTGGGAAATTGTTTCTCTCTCTGAAAACACAAAGCACTGAGGCAACTAACAAGCCCAATCAAACCCACCCTTTCTGGGGGGAAATCTGACAGTACTGTAAACATGTCTCAGAAGGTTTATTTTGGTCTTTGGGTTTTTTTGTTTGTTTTGTGTGTGTGTGTGTGTGTGTGTGTGTGTGTCTAATGATCATGAATAAAGAGAAACCTAAATGCCCAAGCTTGGAGACATGTCTGCACTGTAGGATAGCACACGTGTCACCTAACGCTCACAAGGTTTCCAGGTCTCTGGAAAGTGCTCAGCTGTTAAAAGTGAGGCTCCGTCCCTCCCCGCGCCTGGCACCGCACAGGACGTGACCGCATCAGGGCACCAAGGCACGACCCTCTGGACAGGAGATGCCAGCAGGTGACCAGTGCCGCAAAGGAGAACCAGGTGGCGAGCGGGGAGGGGCAGGCAGGGGGGGCTTCACGGGAAGGACTTGGCAGAGACGTGCAGGGAGGAGGGCGCTGGCCCGGCTGCTGCCTGACGGAAGGGCCAGGGCCAGGGCCGCAGGGTGGGGAGGCCCAGGAAAGAGGCGCAGAGGTGAGTGCGAGGTGACGCCGGGTCCCCCGGGCAGAGCTCAGCAGTGGGAGCGGAAGGGACAACAACCGCAGCTTGGCGTTCCGGAAACAAAACCGCCTGGAAGTAGCAAAGGGCTTCCAGGAGCAGAGAGCCAGCCGGAGGGGGAGCCCCTGCCTCAGTTCCTTAAGACGCTTGGACACAGAAACAGTTTGGAAAAGCCCATGAAAACCAAGCGTGTGCAGCAGGAGCCACACCGGAATGGCCCGAGACCGGCCAGCACGACACGAGGGAGGCAGCCTCGGGTCCTGGCCACCCAGCTGGGGCCTCACGGAGGCAGGGCTGCGGCCCCAGCTGGGAGAGGCCAGCGGCCGGGAGCAGCTGGCCCAACAGGCAGGGGGACCAGAGGGCCCGGGGGCGTCACCTCCTGACGTGCTGCACGGCCTTCCGTGGAACGAGCTCCGGGGCTCCAGAGTGAGACTGGGAACGGCCCCCATTCTGAGCACACAGAGCGTCCCAACCGCTCAGCTGTCCCAAGAGAGGCTGCCCTTGCTCCAGCCCCACTTCCCTCCCCCTCCACCCGAGTCCTTCAGGGCCCCCCAGTCCTTCAGGGCCCCCCTGTCCTTCAGGGCCCCCCAGTCCTTCAGTGCAACCCCCAGTCCTTCAGGGCCCCCCAGTCCTTCAGGGCCCCCCCAGTCCTTCAGGGCAACCCCCAGTCCTTCAGGGTCCCCCCAGTCCTTCAGGGCACCCCCCAGTCCTTCAGGGTCCCCCCCAGTCCTTCAGGGCACCCCCCAGTCCTTCAGGGCCCCCCAGTCCTTCAGGGCACACAACACAAACACCCACAGCTACAAAAGCAGACCAAGTCCACGGACAGCAGGAGGGCAGCTGAGAAGCCACCCACATGACATCAGAGCCAGCTGTCCAGGCATGGCTGTGCCACGTGAGCAGACAGCACAGTGACCGCGCCACACAGCCATCGCAACGGTCCCCTCTGCCACTCATCCAGCTGTCATCAGCATCACCCCTCTTTCCTTTAAACCCACAATCCTCGCGAACACGGACACGAAAAAGGGAAATCCCCAGTACACCGTGACTCCGGGGAGTCCAAGTGACTGGCGAGCCGGTATCACTTGAGGAAGTGGCTTGAATCGCTCCACAGCTGGCCTTTCTGGGCACCAACGTGAGTAAACGCAGAGAACACTTAAAACTGAACCTGCGACTTGAGGGACACGGAGCTGCAGCTAGGCAAGCACCGGCCCGCTGGCGGCGCCGACAGGGCGGAATAAAGCCCGAGCTCTCACTTGTTGCCCGTCTTGATAGCTGTCTATGCTCAAGGTCTGTGTAGCCATCATGGTTAACGAGTTTTATAATAAAACATCAAATCATCTTGAGTCAAAAGCAAATGGCGTCTGGGGAAACAAAAGCAGAAAAGCGTCAGTTAGTAACAGCAGAGCACTCTGGGCCCCCCTCATTCCACAGCCTCCGTATACTTTTTAAAACTACGTATTTGCACACGGGGAAGAAAACACCAGCCTGACGCTGTCACAGCCAACCCCGCCCAGCCCCGCCCCGCTTATGTAGCGGTCACGTATTTGCACTTGCAACGGGCCCGGCTTGTTCTGTTTCTAGCCGTCTGGATGTGTCCATCCGCTCACCCAGCGAGCATCTAGGAACCGTCCACACATGTGGGACACGGTTCTGGGCCCTGGGGCACAGCAGGAGTAGCTGAGGCTCGGCTTTCCTGGGCATGGTGCGGAGGGGGGCACACGCGCGGACAGGGGTTGCAGGGCCAGCCCCCCAGCCGTGTGACAGGGCAGCGCCCCGGGCAGGGTGCCCCGGACACAGAGCCCAGCGACTGGGGGTCCAGGAGACGGGGTCTCAGACGGTAACGGTGAAGGGCACTCGCCTAACGTCTGTGTGTAACACAAAGCTGGAAACAAGGGATCATTTACTTGACAACAACGTAAAGCTGCAAAGCGAGACTCGTGACAGTGGGGGCGCCAAGACCCACAACGGGCCACGGGAGCCAGGGGCGTCCCGGGGCCACCTAAGGGGCTCCAGCGGCCTGCACTGTGCTGAGGAGGTCACGAGGTCAAGGACAGTTATTCCACTTGCTCTGCCCGAGCTCAACCGCTGAAGGTCACCAGGGAGCAGCGATGCTCGTGGGAAAAGATCCAGAAGACCAGCAAGCGGGGGAGGAGTGAGAAGCACGACCCAAGGCGCAGCCAGAAGGACCCGGGTGCCCGGCCCGCAATGGGCAGCTTCTCCTGTGGGGCGGCTCGACCCCCAGGAGCCCGAGTAACAGGGCCAAGGGCCTCCCCCTTCCCCCCTGCCCAGGGAGCCAGCATGAGGTGGGGGCTAACAGCGTGACCTCATGAAAAGCCAAGGGGCAAACGAGGTTACCCTCCTTCCATCAGCAAATGCTTCTGTCTCACTGTCCCGTGCGCTGGCGGAGTGTGGGTGCAGGGCGGACAGGCCCAGACCGGCCACCGTGCATGGGCGGGAGGGGGGCAGAACCTGGTCACCGTGCACACAGGTGTCAGGAAGTGATGAGGGAGGGCGACCAGGTAGGGACAGAGATTACTTGGGGAAGGGGGGCCGCTACAGGTGCCCGTGGGAGACCCCCGGAGGTGGGGGGGCAGGAAGGAGCCGCGGCGCAGAGTCTGGCAGACGGCTAGCATGGCGGGGCAGCATGGCAACGGGGAAGATGGGGGGTGGGGGGGGCACAGGATCAGGTGCCACAGACTCTCATGGGTCACGGGGGACAGGGACCCACGGGAAGGTCTGAGCAGCAGGGTGGCGACTCGGCATAAGGACAGGTGTGCAGCCACGGACAGGCCGGGGTCACGGGGTTCCCACCTGAGCGACAGGCCGAGCAGAGCCACATGTCCCAGGACAGAGCAGATGGAGAAGAGCGGGCTCCGGGGCCTGTGAGGAGACAGAAAGAGGCGGGACATTTTAGGTTTGCGATGCGGCTCCTGCAGCCTCAGAACAAATGAGTCTGTGCCCAAAACACAGACTTGGGCTGGGGGAAAGGGGGGGAGACTTGGGGAGCTCGGGTCATGGTCTTGTGGTTTGTGGGTTCGACCCCCGCGTCGGGCTCTGTGCTGACAGCTTGGAGCCTGGAGCTGCTTCCCATTCTGTGTCTCCCTCTCTCTCTGCCCCTCCCCCCCTGTCTTGTGTTCTCTGTCTCAAAAAATAAACACAACATTAAAAAAAAATTGAAAAAACAGGGGCGCCTGGGTGGCTCAGTTGGTTAAGCGTCCGACTTTCGCTTAGGTCATGATCTCACGGTTCGTGGGTTCGAGCCCCGCGTCGGGCTCTGTGCTGACTGCCAGCTCAGAGCCTGGAGCCTGTTTCAGAGTCTGTGACTCCCTCTCTCTCTGACCGTCCCCTGCTCATGCTGTCTCTCTCTCTCTCTGTCCTAGAAATAAATTAAAAAAAAAAAAAAAAAACAGTGGGAGTAGGGAGAAGACCTGAGGCATACAGAGGGGACGCCATGTGGAGACAGTGACACTGGAGGGTCACAGCCACAAGCCGAGAATGCCCGGAGCCGCCAGGAGCTGGAGGGGCAGGAGGGACCCCAGCCCCACCCCGAGCCCCCAGACTTCAGGTTGACTTCACAGCTGCAGGAAAAGGTGTTTCTGTTGTTTTCACCTACCCGGGGGCGGGGCTTAGTTTCGGCGGGACACTGGGACAGGCTGGGGAGCCCCCAGACGGGGACAGTCCACCCGGGAGGGGGCGGTGGGGATCTGGGTCACCAGCCCGGAACGGAGCAGCGGCCGGCGGACAAGGACAGAACCAAGAGACGGCACTGACGTCAGTGGAGGAGGCGGGAGGAGGGGGCGTCAGTGCAGCTGAGCAGGGGTGTGTCCACGTGCCGGGGAGGGAGAGCCTGGCCAGGGCAGGCAGGAGAGAAGGGCGGGATGTGGAAGCCCCAGGCTAGACAGACAACTCCCGTGGGGCCATGACTAAAGTTGCCCCTGTGCCCCCGGCACCCCACTCCCGACGCGCGGGCACGCCCGTCACTCCGCACCCCCCCCACCCGACGGTCTCTGCCTTGACCAAAGGCTGGCCCTCCTCCTAGCGCCTTGCCCTCCCCTCCACCCCAGGGCACCGCCCCAACCTCAGCCACCGGGAGGGGCTCAGGCCGAACCTCTGGTCTTACCCTCCTCCCCTCCACTGCCCGCCTTTCGGAAACGCACTTCCGGCAAAAAAACCCGTGCAGATCAAGTCCCCCGGCTGCAGCGCCCAGGCCAGTCCGCACAGAGCTGTGCCCGCTGTGAGAGAGCCCCCCCCCCCCCCCCCCCCCGCACACGGCCTCCCCCGGGCCTGGCCGGCTCTCGAACACGCCCCGCCGCCGCCCCATCTCCCGGGGCCTGGCCCCGCCTGCTGTGTGCATCCCTCCTGGGGCCTCCCGTCCACCCCAGGCTCAGCCCTGCAGGGCCTCGTGGTTTCTTCCCCTACACGGTAAGGGCTGACGAGGGCTCCGTGCTGCTGTGTCCCCACCAACCAGCACAGGGTCTGGTCACGACGCGGTGCGCTTACCGCGGACAGGGCGTGTGTCAGGCACACCAGTGCCACCAGCTCCACGGGCCTGATACCCACTTCTCCTTGCTGAGCGTTTCAGCCTTTTCTCATTTCTGTTACTGTCGATTCTGTGGCTGCTGGAACGACAGCTCCGAGGCCAGACTGTGGCAGCGTCCGCCACAGGAGCAGTGGCCACGGCTCACGGCGCTGCTCCAACGGGGCCCGAAGGACGGCTCTGCGGGAGGATCCGAGTCCTCGGTGCACTTCCCGCCAGCCAGTCCGTGCCAGAGCCGCCCTCCCTCGGTGAGCATCGGCGGAACAGGCAGATCTGAGAGCGAGTCCCTGATGACACGGCTTCCCCTCCCCAGCCGCGGAGACATAGGGGGACGGTATCCATGCCAGGGCCTCTGTTTGGGGTTTCATTTAACCCCACACAAACACGGCGAGGGGGTGCAAGCGCCACCTCCCAGCCGAGCCCACCGAGACCAGAAGACTCGCCCGGCAGGTGTCGGGACCGACACAGGCGGGGCCCGGGGGCCCAGGGGCCCATCTCAGAGCTGCCCCGCGGGGCTGGAGGCTCCCCTCCGCGTCCCCAGCCATCTGGGCGGTGGGTGCTACTCAAGATGGAAGACGAGGTAGTTCAGGAACCTGGATGGAAGGACAGCTAACCTGAAAGAGACACAACTGTCCTCTCTGCAGATGCGTCGGCCGCCAGGCCAGGCGGGCAGCGAGTGCTGCCGTGGGCTGTCCCCGTCAACGCCCCCGACGCGCCTGTGCCAGGACGCGGTCCACGCCGCGCTTGCCCCGCAGGGTGCAGCCCCACACGGGCGTGCGGTGAGGAACGCCGGGTGGGAAAAGTCTGCACATGTTCGTTCATCGGCGTCAGGACAGGCACTGGCTCTGTGTGGTTGTGCCATATTCCAACCAGAGGGGGCAGGGCTCGCGTGGGCTCCAGCTCTGGCTGGGGGTCCTCTCCTGGGCGAGCTCCGCTGTGCGTGCAGGTGACCGCACGGCCCTCGGTGCGCTGCCCACAGGGACTCGGGCACGGGAAGGGGCCCCGCGTCCCCTGCGCTGGCCCACCACTCCAGAATACACGTGACGTCCAACGGCGGCGAGGACACAGGGCCGCCCTGCTTCCGCCCAGCAGCACCCGCCCCCCTGCCTCCGACTCAGAAGCGCTCTTCCTCGCTGTGCCAGGAGGGAGCCAACCTTCACTCAGGCACAAAGCCACAAACACACCTGATGGACACACACTCTTGGCAAGAACAGCCACCGAGAGCTTCCTGCGACAATCCAGTGACTTTCAGACCTAAAAGGTCCGCTTCCTTGGGTTCGACAAACCACAGGTGTTGTGTGAGGCCGGGAAGGGCGTTCTAGTCTGAGAAGACACGTGAGCACGTGGGGAACAGGTGCAGGCCTGTCAGTGACAGAGAAGGGGCAGAAAACGGACAGGGAACGGCCCGGGTGAACCCCGCCCCGCTGGAACGGAAGTGGGGCTGTCGGTGGGAGTTCCCATGCTCAACGCACGCAGACCTCACCCACACGCGTGTGCACATGCTTCGGCCCCGTCCCCAGAGAGGGTGGAGAAGCGGCGATGCCCGGGAGCAAGGAGCGCTTAGTATCCAGACCCGGGGAGATAAATACCGTTCCGCCGAACACAGGATCGGGGCTCTGGAGAGCCGTGGCTGATCTGACTCCAGGGCTGGGGCAGGGAAGGCACAAGATGACCTGGAACGTGTGCTCAAAACTTACGGGGACACGTCAGGAGGAGCCAAAGCAGCGTGCAGAAGCGCTCAGCACCCAAACGGGGGACAGCGTGGGCAGCGGGGTATGACGGTACTTGGAGTCGGACAGCAATCGGTGAGCCCACTGAGATCCTTGGAAACAGACCCAACCAAAGAGGAGAAAGGCCCGTGCTCTGGAGACGATAGGAAGCTTGTGACAGAATTGGAGAGGACACAAGAATTGAGAAGACCTTCTGTGCTCACGCGCTGCAAGAACAAGCATTGTTAAAATGGCGACATAGCCCCAAGCCGTCTATACATTCAATATAATCCCTGTCAGAACACCACTGGCATTCTTCACCGAGCTAGAACAAACCATCCTAGAATGTGTAGGGAGCCACAGAAGACCCAGAAGAGCCAAAGCGATTCTGAAAGAGCAATCCAAAGCAGGAGGCATCACAATCCCGGACTTCAGGATGTATTACAAAGCCATCAGCATCAAGGCCGTACGCTCCTGGCACGTGAACAGACACCCGGATCACCGGAACAGAACAGATTCCAAAAATAAATCTACAGTCATGTGGTAAATGAATCTTCAACGAAGAAGGAAAGAATATCCAAAGGGAAAAAGACAGTCACTTCAACAAGCAGTTCTGGGAGGAACCGACAGCCACATGCAGAAGAATGAAACTTTCTTATGCCACACGCACAAAATAAACTCGCGGTGCTGGTGGCTCAGTGTGTTAAGCATCCGACTTCGGCTCAGGCCATGATCTCAGGGTTCATGAGTTCAAGCCCCGCGTCGGGCTCTGTGCTGACAGCTCGGGGCCTGGACCTGCTTCGGATTCTGTGTCTCCCTCCCTCTCTGCCTCTCCTCTGCCCAGGCTCTGTCTCTTTCTCTCCCTCTCAAAAATAAAGAAACAGGGGCGCCTGGGTGGCTTAGTCGGTTAAGCGTCCGACTTTCGCTTAGGTCATGATCTCGCGGTTCGTGGGTTCGAGCCCCGCGTCGGGCTCTGTGCTGACTGCCAGCTCGGAGCCTGGAGCCTGTTTCAGAGTCTGTGACTCCCTCTCTCTCTGACCCTCCCCTGCTCACGCTGTCTCTCTCTCTCTCTCCTAGAAATAAATAAAAAACATTAAAAAATTTTGAAAAAAAAATAAACATAAAAAAAAGAAAGGGAAGAAAACAAACTGATGGTCATCAGAGGAGATGGGGTGGGTGAATTCAGTGATGGGGATTAAGAGTGCACTTGTGATGAGCACCTCGTGATCAAAATAAAAACGTAAAAACAAGAAAAAGAGGCTGCGAGTCCATAGTGCTACACGTCCAGAAATGAACGAATACGTGGGGGAAGGGAAAGCTGTAAATTACAGCAGGGGAAGTAGGGGCGGAGGCAGTTCTGTCACCCCCGGCACCAGGCACGCGAGCCTCAGGCAGGACTCAGCCTGAGCGCCAGTACTCGGTGCAGGAAGAAGAAACGCACCCGCTTGCAGAACACCTGCCCTCAGCTACTACTCATCACAAGGGCAAACAGTAGCTTCCCGATGAAGAGACCGGGCAGAAAACTGTGTAACCAGGCGGTGAACATTCACATTCACGTGACCAGTAACGGGACGAGTGAACATCACCGCCCTCCCGGAAAGGACACGTAAAACTTCAGAGGGGCCCTGCCCGATCCTGGGGCTGTGCTCCCACAAACTGGAACCTAGGGGCAATCCACAGAGTGGCCAGGAAGCTTCCAGAGCATGAACATGAAAGAAGCCGATGGACTCCTCCAGAAAGTGAAGCGACAGGTGTGTGTGTGCTCCTGAACTGGGGCCTGGGTCCCAAAACTGCTCTTTTCTTTCTCCCATAAAGCTCACTGGTGAGACAACTGGCAAAATTTACATACAGAGTAGCTACAAGTATCTTATCAGTTACTCTCCGGACTCGGGTAACTGTGCTGTGGTTAACGAGGACCGCGCCCTTGCTTTGAAATGCACACTGATGTCTTCAGCCTAAGAAGGGTGTCACACTTAACAACATACTCTCTCGAGCCTATGTGCACACATACGTGTGTATATGCACATGTACACACAACGAGAGAGAGAGATGGAGAGAGTGAGTGAGCATAAGTTTGGTAAAATGTGAACACTGGGAAAGGTACATGGGACGTTTTTGCAACTTCTGTAAGACTGAGATTCAAAGCAAGAAGTTTTTAAAAGTGTAACACTTGTAGGGCGCCTGGGTGGCTCAGTCCGTTAGCCATCCGACTTCAACTCAGGTCATCATCTTACGGTTCCTGCGTTTGAGCCCTGCATCAGGCTCTGTGCTGACAGCTCGGGGCCTGGAGCTGCTTCGGATTCTGTGTCTCCCTCTCCCTCCCTCCCCCACTCACACTGTGTCTCTCGCTCTTCTCAAAAACAAATAAACATGAAAAAAATTGTTGTTAAGTCTAACACTTGTGGGATTCTAAAGAAGATGGGGGCTGGTCTGGGTTCAAAGAGACTGAAGCAGCAACAACCAAATGGGCACATGACAAAAGCCGTGAGAGGTGAGGCAGGGGCGGCGGGGCGGGGCACACGGAGGGGACAGGAGCTGACGCTGGAGACTGAGGGTTGTTACCCACACGGCAGTGCTGCTCCTTCACGAGAAGCACCTCTGTTTGGAGGAGCAGGGCGGCGATGTCTAGGGGTGTGGTCACAACACCCACAACTTTAAATGGTCCACAGGCGCACCCATGCAGCTACACACTGTGGCCGGGGTCAACAACTGACAAATCCAGGTGGGGGGGGGGTCTCCCTTCTACTCGTTCAATCCTTTGGTTTCAAAATAGGGGCACCTGGGGGACTCAGTCCATTAAGTGTCCAACTTTAGCTCAGTTCGTGGGTTCGAGTCCTGCGTCAGGCTCTGTGCTGACAACTCAGAGCCTGGAGCCTGCTTCAGATTCTGGGTCTCCCCCCCCCCCCGCCCCTTCTGCACTCGCTCTATCTCTCTCTCAAAAATAAATAAAATCATTAAAAAAGAAAAAAGAAAAAGAAAAAATGTCCACAATAAATACTGGGAAACAGTCAGAATTTTATTTTAAAAATATATGGATTTGCAGTCCTTCTATCAAAACTTGTTAAGGAGCACCTGGGTGGCTCAGTTGGTTAAGTGTCGGACTTCGGCTCAGGCCATGATCTCACGGTTTGTGGGTTCGAGCCCCACGTCGGGCTTTGTGCTGACAGCTCGGAGCCTGGAGCCTGTTTTGGATTCTGTGTGTGTCTCTCTCTCTGACCCTCCCCCACTCGTGCTCTGTCTCTCTCTGTCTCAAAAATAAATAGACTATAAAAAAACAAAACTTGTTAAAACTACAATGTCTGATGTAATTAGTACAACTATTCTAAGGGGAAAATTGGAAATTTGTGCAAAAGCTTTGAAAACGTGCTCTCTCTACAAAAGGATACTATGCAAGGAATTTTTCTAAATTTATTTATTTTGAG